AACATTCTAATAATGGCATGATTGAGCAGATCTCCTTGGTATAGAAGCTAGAAGTGTGGTACTGAAAAAACAAATAATTTTAAATCTAGAACAGCAAAACTGATGTCAAATTTCAAAGGAAGGGCTAATTTTAATCATCTTAATAAATAAGTAAAAAACCCCACCAATCTCTTTTTTATTAAGGAATCCTAATGACTGAGGTAGATGATGCTGTTATCAGATGTTAAACTAATTAGGTTCAAGATATAAAAATGATAAAACTGAGGGAAAGAAAGCACTGATCTGAATTAGCTTTTCTTTAAATCCAGATGGGATAACTGAGAACACTTCAATTCAAAGTTCTAAGCACGAAATCCATGTATGTCATGTGTGGACACACTTCTTGAAGGTGAACTTAGCAGCTGATGGGAAGAATCCATGCTCTTAAAAGAACAGCAAACCACAAAATGGTTATCTTAGTGAAGAAGCCAGAAACTTTGTATTGATGTTTCCATCTTGTTCATTCCCAACTGTTCATGATTTGGATTATGAAGCCTTCTTCAGCATTTAACTAATTCTTGTTGGCTGAAGGGGCTGGATCGTTTCTCCACAGATAAACTTGATCCTAAGAGTGAGAAATGACATTAACCACTGAGTTTCTGTGTCACAAATGCATCAATATTAAACTTTCATTTTGTTACAGATTCAATCCAGCTGTTAATTTAGTTTTCCCTTGCTATTATCACTTCATCTTGTTCAAAGAGCAATGTCAGCATCAGAATTACAATCTTAAAAGTATATTGGTTTTAGTCCTGAATTCATTACTTAATATAAAGTACCTAATCTTATCAACAAATATGCCCATCTTTACTATAGAGCAACCACTTCTCAGAAATCATCTTTTAAGTTTCTGTATTAATTACCATTTACATTAAAACTTCTCCACTTTCAATATTTGGTCATTCAAATACCTGTCCTCTTCAAAATATTACTTCCTCCAACTAAAAGGGATAGTTCTTTATTTGTTTCCCGAATACAGATAATCTGCAATGTTAGCTCCTTTGTAAATGAAGTTCAATCTCTGATCATTTATCCTGGTTTATGTCAGCTACCACAAGAAACCTCTGCCTCTCAAGTTACCTGTCATCTCCTGAATCTGATCCCTGAAGGAACAAGCCCTATTCTGTCCCTATCACTCACTGTTGCCCAACATCTGGAACCTTTCCACTGTGCTCTTTGGAATCCATGGCCCATTGTCAGAACAATGCTCCATATTCTTAACTTCTTCTTTAAAATGTTTCTTTGCCCCCTAGGAACATTTGGCAATGTCTGGAAATATTTTGGGTTGACACAACTAGGGGGTGCTACTGACATCTAAAGGTCAGGGATGCTGCTAAACACCCTACAATACACAGGATAACCCCACACAACAAAGAATTATCAAGCCTAAAATGTCAATAGTGCTGAGGTTGACACAAAGCCATCTAAGGACACTGTTTTCCCTACATCTCCCTCTAGTGGTGGCTCTGTGTTTCCAGAGCCCTAGTACCACAGGCCTTAGAAGTGGGGCTGGTTGCTCCTTTTTGCCATTCTTCTTCTTCCCTCTTTAAAACTCACCAACTTTGAACGTTATGTCACGAGATGATAGCATTACTATTCCTTCCTGTTTCTGTCATCTACCCACCTAGATCCTATATTCCAACCCCTCTGGAATTTCCCTCTATTTCTGAAACCACCTTTCACTGCCCCTCGCTCCCTTGATGTTCTCTTTACCTAGTTCAAATTCTGTGGTCAATTATCATAATTTCTCTTCTCTCACTCCTTCCTATTCACTTGGCAAAACCACAACCCTGGTTAAATCTAACTTCCAGTGTCTACATTCACCCATGGAGCTGAATGTCTACCACCTCAAACTCTCTCTTAATCCTCTATCACCACCAGTTACTGCCCTGTATTTCTGCTCCCTTTGCAGCGAACTCTTTGAAAGAAATGCCTACACTTGCTGCCTCCTATTCTTCTCCCATTCTCTCCAACCAGTTTTCCACCCATTCGGTTTCTTCCATCAAGATTTGTCCCTATTACACCATAGAAACTGCTCTCATCACCATCACAAATGAACTCTGTGTTGCCAAAACCCGTGGAAGTCTTGATTTCTATCTATCAGTGTCACCTGAAAAGGATCATCACTTCCTTGACTTTTTCTCATCTGGCTTCCAGGATATGACACTGTGATTTTCCTCCTTCCTCAGGGGTTGTGCCTTTTCAGTCAGCTTTGTTGATTATTTATTTCCCTCCAAGACCTTTTAATGTTGGAGTGCCCCAAGGCTCGGTCCTTCCTTTTGTCCATCTCTATCTACATTCACAGTCCTGGTGACCTCATCCAATCTCATGGCTCTATATGCTATCTATTCCTGATAACTCCCAAATTTACATTGCCAGCCAATCTCTCTCCTGAACTCCAGACATGCATAACCAATTGCCGTCTCAACAGCTCCACCTGGATGACAAAGAGACCTCTCAAAGGTATTATGTCCAATTCCTACCCCTATACCTACAGTTATCTCCCCCGCAGTTGATGGTAATTCCATCCTTCCAGTTATTAAGCTCACACATGTTGAAATCATCCTTGATTCGTCTCAGCCTCTATATCCAAACCCTAAGAAAATCCTTATTATTCAGTGTATCCAGAATCCAATCACTTCTCACCACCTCCATTGCTGTAGCTCGGTCCAAGCCACCCATCTCCTGCTTTGATTAGTGTAACAGCCTCCTAACTGGTTTTCCTGTTTGTATCTTTGCTTTCTCACTATTTACTCTCAACACAGCAAGCAGAATCATGCTTTTAAAATTTAAGTTGGATCATGGCACTCCTCTCTTCAAAAATCCTCCAGCGGTTCCCTATACCATTCACAACAAAAGCCAAAGTCCTTAAGGTGTCCCACAAACATCTTTGTGATCTGCCCCACTCCATTAATTTCATCTTGGATTACTCTCACCCTCCTTTACTCTGCTCTAGTCACACTGGCCTTCATTTTTCCTTAATAAAATCAGACATGTTCCTGCCTCAGGGCTCCTTCACTAAATGTTCCTTTTGCTGGACTCTCTTACCCCTCATTTGTATCTGGCTGACTCCCTCACCTCCTTCAAATCTTTACTTAGTAAAGGCCTTTCTCAATAAGACCTGCCATGATCACCCTATTTAAAATCTCAACTTCCTCCCAAACCAGCCCTCCTGATCCTCCTTACCCTGTTTGCTTTTTGCTCCAGAGCACATTTTAATAAAAGAATGAATCATTACATTTCTAAATTACAGTCTAAATTTTAGCCTGCTTCTCTCATGAGGCCCTGTGCCTCATCCCTGCTTTCCCCATTCTCATCTTAAAGTTCATGTTTAAGGGTGTTAAGCTCCTTAATTAAGACTCCATTCAAGGTATTTAACAAAACTTTGGGCAGGGGTAGGCAGTAACAACATTTATTGTTTTTCTATTATTGATATTCTTGTGTGAAAGACAATAAATAGACAACTAAAGACTAAAATGAAACTGTAAAATTGCAAGTAGGTATTTCAAACAGGATAATGCAGAATTCTATGTATTAAGTCAGGCAAGAAGTACTATACAATTATTCCCTTCAAAATAAATCTTGGAGCTCTGAACAATTTTAGTTACACATTAAACAGTGGAAGAATAAAGACTGTCAATTAAAATAACATTTATAATTACTTTACCTCTATTTAATAAGTAATCAATACTTTTCATTAAAGAGTAGTTTTATTACCTTCTCCAAAGCTAAATTAAGTTATGTAATTTAAGCTTTTAAAATTTCGACTTACTATTCAGCTGTTCGTCAATAGTTTTCAAAATGTATTTTTATATAAATATATTTTTATAAAAATATAGCACATTACCTAGCACACTGTTATGAAACATTTTCCTGCACTTATCACTGACAGGCTGCTCTAGGTCCTTGCTATTGCCTCACAACCCCCTTTACCTCTTTTTAAATTACATCTCTTACTTTGTCATAAATCACTTTTATAATGAGAGAGCAGCTAGGACACGTCGCTACGTCTTCTCCGTTCTCCAAATCTTCCTATAACGAAATCAAACACCGTGTGGTTAGCATAGTCTTCCTTTCGCCTTTCCTCACCCCAAACCTCTCCCACTCCTAAGTCCAAATCTCCTGGTGGCTTGCCTCCCCTCAGAGCGGGTGACAGAGCCGAGCCAAAAGGGCCTTCCAAGAGAAACGCCAAGCCCTTTTCATCCCTACAAGCGTCACTTAGGGAAATACCCAGGAAGGTTAGGCGAGGTTCATTCCCCTCAAACCCCTGGGAAACAAAAACACGTTCCATTCACCAAACTATCCTAGCAAGGGGCCCTAAAGCGAGTGAGTATTCGGCAGGAAGACCGACGATCCCCGCCACGCCCTCCCCGGCCTAACTAAAGTCCAAAACTACGTGTCCACTGAGAGCTCAGGATATTAATGAGGGGAGGGGGAAGGGGAGGCGGATTCAGAAACAGGGGAACGAGGCCGTGGATGACTCAGCGCCGCAAGGGCGACCAAACCGCGGAAGGAACATCCGGCGGATTGAAAACGCGCCGGCTTGGGTCAGTCGCGAGGAGGGGCCTTAAAGTTACCTTGGTGATGGAGAAGTTATCCCCACACGGGCAGGGGTAGAAATACGTCTCCGAGTCCTCGTCATATTGGAAGTCCTCGATCTCCACCTCGTCGTGAAACACTGCCATAGTCACCAGAAGCCGGCAAGGGGCTAAAGCCCCTGCCGCTCAACACACCTCCACAGATGGTTTAACTTGGGAGGTGCCGGCCCGGCCTTGCGTCGTTAAGACACGCCAGTTCAGGAACTATCGCTTCCGGCGCATAGGCAATGACGCAACCCCGGCCTAGGCGGCCAAATGGGTGAACGGTAGTGGTCACCATGGAGATCGCTGAGCTAGGGGCGGAGACACTGGAGAGACTGCGCTTGCTTCTCAGCAGCGTCGCGCACCGCTCCTCCCATTGGACATCAACGGCCAATAGAATGTGGGGCTCGCCCGCGCAGCTGCTACGTCACGTTGGGCCCGCTGAGGCTCCCACGCGCCGGCGGTGGAAGCTGTCCAGGGTCTGCAGGCTAGGTATCTGCGGCAGCGGTGTCCCTGCTTCACCTTTCGGGCCTAGAGAAGCCTTGAGTCGTCCGGTGAAGGCTGTGGCAGGCGTCAGGTAGCATCCACCCGGTGCTCGGGAAAAGTGGGGCGCCGCTTTCCTTGGTCTCGGGCGGCGGCGGCGGCGGGAGCAGTTTGGCCTCCTCGACTTCCCTCTCCTGTGACGGCCAAACAGTTCCTGTGGAATTTAGTTTCACGGAGTGACCTTGAGTTCAGGTTGCAGGTACATTCCCGCTTTTTCCTCACCCCAGACATCTTCAAATACCTTAAATTGTGTTGCTGAAAGGACTAAACCCTGGAAGGCATATAACATTAGTAACTTCAATGATTTGTAGTAACAGTAATAACATTACGTTTGTTAAATTGGGGTTTGTTATGCGCCAGGTATTGGGCTAAATATAATTCTTTCATCAACCCTGGGGGCTTAGATGTTATTCCATTTTATTATTCTTCAAACTGAGGTATAGAGAGTTGCACATCTTCACCAAGATCACCCACTAGGGAAATCAGTGAAGAGCTTGTCTGTCTCCAAAGCCCAGGAACAAATTACTTATGTGAACCCCAGTTTCTTCTTTGTAATAGTAATGTCACTGGGCAGGGTTATCAGTATGAAGTCTTGAAATGCATATAAAAGGTGGTTTGTCCTGAAAGCAGTGCTAGTGCTTGTCTTGGAAAAACCAGATTCCATCAAGTATTGCTCTTTTAATAGGCATATTAATATCTTGGTAGAGAAGGAAGGTATTGTAGCAGGAAAACACTGTTGCAGAAGATCAGTGCTCAGACTCCGAGTTGCTAATTAGCTATGGCAACTGGATATTTATATTCTTTGGGCCTTTATTTATCTTCTATGTAAGAAAGGGTTGTACTAGAGATGCTTATCTCTTTTAGATCTCACATTCTACCTTTGAATGGAAATTATGAGTTTTACTTGGTTTAGCAATTATATATACCATATTTAGTTTGCATTTACATAATACATAAACAAAGTACATCCCTGTACTTATGTACATGCACTCAAATGTTTGTGTGAAGTTGCCAGTTTTGTGTGCATTGAGATGAAGCTCCACCCAGTTTAGTCCTTTTTTAAAGCTTGAAACCTAAGGCAGAGAAGTTTTTGGGAGAAAATCCAGAAAGTATATTAAAAGACTTTATGGAAAATTATTTCAGAGGCCTCACAAACACTTCATTTTGCATAATTGGAGATCTACCCAGCAGTTAGGAAACATTTGTTAAACTTGTCAAAGATTAACTGTGATGACTCTGCTCTGTCTGGGCAAAGGAGAAATCCCAGCAAGCCCATACAGAGCAGTGGCTGCTCCCTGTACTTCGGTATACACAAATACTTTCCAGGTAGACTCTTGGAGACAGAAGGAAAAGGGAGATTCTCCAGTACCTATTATGTAGTCCCAGTGATCATTGTGAGGTTGAGAGCTGGCTTTAGTTCTTCGTCTTCAGTGTAAGTACCTACAAATTAAAGAAATGGGTGCAGTCATATTTGGCTCAAGGGAAGTATAAATTGGTAGATCTTTTAGAAAGCAATTTGGATCTATCAAAAACAATTTGCTGGGGAGTCTTAAGATCTGAAATTAGTAGTCCTAAAAGTTACAGGGGTAGTTGGGGAGTTTTTCTTTGTAATTTTCGAACTTTCTTTGAATATGTATTACCTAAAATGGAAAAAGAAAAACTAATGAACCTCTTAATAATAGCTGACATTATATACCATGCCGAATCCTTTGTGTGCATTATGTTATTAAAACAGCCCCTTTTTTCTTTTCTTTTTTTTTTTTTTTGAGACAGGGTCTCATTCTGTTGTCCAGGGTAGAGTGTGGTGGCATCATCATAGCTCACTGCAACCTCAAACTCCTAGGCTCAAGTGATCCTCCTGCCTCAACCTCCTGAGTAGCTGGGACTATAGACATACACCACACCACACTAATTTTTTATTTTTGGTAGTGATGGGGTTCCCTGTGTTGCTCAGGCTGGTCTGAAACTCCTGGCCTCAAGTGATCCCCCCACATTGACCTCCCAAAGTGCTAGGATTATAGGAGTTAGCCACCACATCTGCCCTAAACTCCATCTTTAACACTGGGAAACATGAAGTTTAGGGGTTAAGGAACTTGCCTAAGGCAAGGCTGATAAGTGGCAGTAAGCAATGGTGAGAACTCACATCTGTCAGCCATAGAATCTGTGATGCCATTTGTGATGGGAATGCACTTAAGGCAGAGCTAGATTAAACAAACAGCACTGTAGCTCTGCAGACTGCTGAGGTCTTCTAATGAGCAGTGCTGCAGTGCTGGTTCCCTTGAGAACTAGATTGAGGGTGAGGGATCTTCTTGGCTTTCCATAAGCTTTCTTTTTTTATATATATATATTATATAATTTGATTTTATTTTTTCTCAAATTCTCTGGGTACAAATATTATTAGGGTTATGTATCTTGCCCCTGCCCCCCACCCCCACCCTGCTCTGCCAGAGCTTCAAGTGTGTCCAGTCTTTAAGTGGTGTGCCCTGCACCCACCATGAAAGTGCGTACCCTTCCCCTTCTCCCCCTTTCCACCTGTTCTCCCATTAACAAATTTTTTTTTTAGACATTTTGGTTACAGTGTGTTTCTTTGCCTCTCCCTAAAAAGGGATAGAGGTAATCCTTTCCCCCCTACAATGCTCATCACATCCTTAAGATGTGGTCTCTGCCCCAGATCCCTGTTGAACACTACATTATTTGAAACCAATTTTAGGCTGTCAGTACCATTTGATGGCGAGTAGATGTGTAGCCCATTTTCTAGGTCTTGTGTCATCTCGCTTTGTATTACAGGCTTAAGCTTAATCCAAGGTAGCATAAACGGTGCTAGTTCACTATCGTTTCTTAGGATTGAGTAATATCCATTGTGAGTATATACCACATTTTAGTTATCATTCATGAATTGATGGGCACTTGGGTAGTTTCCATGACCATGCAATAGTGAATTGTGCTGCTAAAAACATTCGGATGCAGATGTCTTTATAATAGAGTGTCTTATGTTCTTTTGGATAGATGCCCAACAATGCTATTGCTGGGTCAAATGGTATTTCTTTTTCTAGTTGTTTGAGATATCTCCAAATTCTTTTCCACAAAGGTTGCACTAATTTGCAGTCCCACCAGCAGTGTAAGAGTGTTCCTGTCTCTCCGCATCGCCAGCATTTGTTGTTTTGGGATTTCTTGATACAGGCCATTCTCACTGGGCTTAGGTGGTATCTCATTCCCTCTTGTCTAGCCAGAGGTGGCTGCTCTAATGGTTCTGTGCCATTTGAGCTTATACTGTGCTAAAGAAAATAAAACCATAGCTAAACATTTAATGTAGTTTTTGTTTTTCACTGTACCTAGCACTTTTAAATAAAACATTACAATGTCTAGTAAAGGTAGTTATTTGTTCCTGAAAGGGAATAGAAACATTTTGTAATGACACACTTTTGGACCCTGACAGAGTGACAAAAGCATATTTACTAGTTGCTATAGTCAGTAGAAATCACATTCTTTTAAATTTTTTATCATAAATGTTAACATTGCTTATCCAAAAAATAACAATGTCCAGAATTTTTAGCATAAGATCAGATTTAGAGCTGGGTCATAAATGTATAATGGAAACTGTTTAATAAGTGCCATTGTAAATCAGGCCAGGGGGAGTGATTTATTGGCAATATCAAACCTCTACCTCTCTAGATTGTTTGTCAAGGAAGAGAAGATGTTTATATATTAGGATTGATTTTTAGTAACATTCTTGCTTGCCAGGTACTTCCATAGACATTATTTATTCATATCTTTTAGCAATCCAATGAGGTGGTGTGAGTATTGTTAAAATGGTAAGAGGTAATTTGCTCAAGATCAAAAAGCAGGAAGGAGTCACACCTGAGCCTAGTTCTACTGATTCAGGTCATACACTCTGTACATCATTTGTTAACTAAATGCTGGAAGCCCCTTTGCTTCCTCAGTGACACCTAGAGTTCTAAATTGACAGATGCCACCATGTTAAGCACACCTGTATTCCCAGGAGGCTGAGGCACGAGGATCACTTAAACTCAGCCTGGGCAACATAAGGAGACCCCATCTTTGAATGAATGACAGATGCCATGATCTTTGAATTTACTTTATTTCAGTGCATTCATGCTCATTGAGGCATTCTTGGTTTTTCTGTGCCTCACTGCCCTCTCACATCCTGTCTAATCTATCAGCAAGTTGCAGGGCTCTAATTTGAAAATATATTCCGTGTTCATCTATTTCTGTCATCTCTGTAGTTGTTTTTCTACTATAATCTTAGACCAGAGCCTTCTAACTAAACTTCCTGCTTCCACTCTTTCCTTTCTATGATCCAGAATTCTTCACACAGCAGCCTGAGCAATCCTTTATAAATTAGGTCATGTCCTTCTGGTTTATTCAAACCCTTCAGTTGCTTCCCATTCCCCTTAGGGTAAAGTTCATACCCTTACCATGGCCTGCTGGACTTTATCTCATTTCACTCTCACCCAGCTTCCTGTTCTTCAGTCATGATGGCCATGGTTCCTCAAACACACCAGGCTTGTTTCTGTGTAGAGCCTTTGTTCTTGCTAATCCCTCTGCTGGAATGCTCTATCCTTAACATCTGCTTGGCTGCCTCTTCCTCATCATTCAGGTCTCAGCTGAGGTGTCATCAACTGAGAGAGGCTTTTCCTTATTTTACCCCTCCCATTCCATCACTCTTTACTGTATTACATTCATAATCTATAATTATCTCGTTAATTATCTGTTTACTATTATCTGTCTCTCGGGTTGTAATAAAAGCTTCATGATGGCAACGCCCTTGTATCTGGTTCTTTACTGTATCTCCAAGGCCTAAAATTGTGTGTCTTACCTCTGTAATTGTTGAATGAGCTGAGGGTACCTGTTGAACCAAAACAAGTGTAATTAATCTTAAATCCTAAATTTAATATGGTGCTTTCAGTGATTTGTTTTACTACTTATTTAATGGATTTCAGTTTTATTTAGCATTTATGATAACTTTCTGTGTTTCTGAAATAAAGCTAATTAAGATTTTTGGCAAGGTAAGGCCTGTGAGGGTACAAACATTGATGGAATAGTCTTTATATGGTGTTAGGAATTGCTTAATATTTATTGATATACTGTGGTTGATTAAATACTCATATGGAACATATGAAACCACTGGACATATTTCAAAAAATGAGTAATTTTGTTAATACCTATTCAAAGGACTGGCATAAAACTTTGGAATGCACTTTGAACAGACATTTATAAAAATGTCCTGTATTTACCAGTAGGTGGCACTCTTGGTCACGATTACTGTTAGAAACAAGTTTTTAGAATTTTAAAGGGAACAGGTTTTAAAAATTAACATTTCTTTGTTTTTCAGTTTAGTTGAGCAGACTGTTCAAACAGCATAATCACAAAATGATCTATCCTATTGTGAGGGCGATTTATTTTACCAATTGTTCTCTAAAACCTTGAGCAGAACAGTATTTCCATGTATAACTATATACCAGTTAAATTTTATCAGGGAACTTGGCCTCAAGTGACATGGAACTGTATCATTCTAGCCTTTGGTCCACTGTTTCCTAGGGTGGATATCCTAAGTAGCAGGAGTTAAAGATAGGCTGGGGAAGAAAAACAAGAGAAGTAATCAAAAAAGAAAAGTAAAAATGTAAGAGGGGAGAAAGGATGGAAAGGGGGTATTTGAGAGTGGGCTTGCTGTGAGGTGATGCCTACTGATGATAATGAGCCTTTCCTTTTGCAACTAAGAGGTAGCGGTGCTTTTCATCAGTTTCCCAAAACGTTCTGTATTGTCTATGCCATTGCAGGAACTTTGTGAGAATTTCAATGTATGGAAAAATTGTCCATGTTCCAAGTGGTGTATATCCAAAGGTCTCAGTGTAATACCAGGACCAAAACATTCTGTGTCAGTCAGCCAGCTGAACACTTAATGACTCCTAAAATCTCATGGACTTCTAAATTCTAAAGTAAGTTTCAGATTCTTTCTTTCAGTGATTAACATACCATCTTTGATTGAGTGCATTAATTTAACAGAGAAAAACTCCAGTTAGTGGTCTTGTGTGAGGTGAAAGAGGCAGTATACTTTTATCATTTACTAGAGGGAAAAACAGCAAGTAATGTGTTTGTAAGGATGCTGTATTATACTGTGACAAGAAGATATAGATCTTTTATCTAAAGACAAGTTATGAAACAGTGGTCTTTTTGATATGATTTGGTTATAGCTGAGTAAATTACATATTACTTATATCACCACCTGATTTATTTACTTTTATTTATTGTCTGTCACCACCTATTAGAATGCAAACTGTCTAAGATGGTCTTTGTTTTTTCGATGCCTGTGTCATCAGTACATAGGCCAGTGCCTGCCACATACTGGGCTCTTAGTAAATATTTGTTGAATGAAGGACTAAATTAATGAATATGGAATAGGAATGTAAACACACTTAGCTTGAATATTTTCCTAACACTAAATTTATTACAATTAATTTACATAATGCCTTCCAAAGAGCTCAGAAAAAAAAGTGTTCACATACATTTTCATTTACTCTTCAACTAAGATAGGAAGGGACAGATATGGCAATATAACATGTTAAATGTGGCCATTTTAGGCAAAGAAATGTTTAAAAATTGACATAGGAAAGAAACAAAAAATATATATCATCTGGTTCGTAATCAGTGCATTTTCTGATAGGCCAGTAGTTTTTACAATTTGAAATGTTGAGGAATCTGTGTGTGTGTGCGTGTGTGTGTGTGTGTGCAACTTTCTACTGAAGTACAATATACAAGCAGAAAAGTACACACATTCTAAGATCACTTTTTATATGTATCAGCATGCAGATTAAGAAACAACATTATCACTACCACCTCCCAAGGAAAGCTGCTAACTTGATTTCTAACACTGTAGATTCATTTTGCCTATTTTTGTACTTAATAAGATTGGAATCAATCCTGTTCTTTTATGTGTTATTTTAGTCTGGCTTCTTTCATTTAGAATATTTGTGGTATTCATCTATGTTACTGCATGTAATTTCAGTGTATTCATTTTCGTTACTGTATAGTATATCTTATTGTGTGGATATATCACAACTAGTTTATCTACTTTAGTAATGGCCGCCATTTGGATAGTTTCCAGTTCTAGCCATTATGAGTAGTGTTACTGTTATCTTTGTTGGTTTTTAATATCTGGGAACGTTAAGCATTTTATATTTGGGAACCTCAGTAAATTTGCCTCTCATTTGTGTTTTATATAATAAGAAATATTAAAGAGTTACATAGTGCTCTTTAGATGGAATACAATTATCAGGCAGTTATAAAAATCTCTCCTCTTCTATAATAGCATAAGATTAGTCATACGAACTTGGTCAGAGATTTTGGAAACTAGTAGAGAAAATGAATGTTTGATAACACCAAAAATTACATACTTATGTACCAGTGCAATACCTTGAATCAACTCTAAATAGTGGCAGAAACCTTGTCAAGGTGAGGTTAGGCTCTTGGTTGCTTTGCTAGTGGATCAACTCATAACATCACCAACAGAAATCCAAACTCTTCTTCATTGGCTCCTAAGATAATCTGATATTTCTCCACTTTTTCTTAAAATATAATTTTAAATTTCAGTTTTATGTTTGCCCAGGAAGTACCATGGCCTGTCCTGCTGTCTTGATTCCTGGGTTGTTGCGAGGTTCTGTTGGAGCCATCTGTGCTCAGGCCCCTTTATTGAGATTGACACCCAGCACTTTGCGCCGCCTTACTCTAACCAGGTAAGTCATTAAGCCTTTGGTGTCATTTGAGGTTGATTTTCAAAGAGACTTGACTTGCTGATGATTGTGGGAGGCATGTGAAACTCCTGAAAGAGGTAACACCTTGGCTTAAATGGGCATGCCATCAGACCATTAAACTTTAGTTCAGTGGAAATATTCACGGGCCATTTTGTGGGATCCATAATGTTATATTGTATTTTGGATAGCCATGAAAAAGGAAAAACTAATTTTATTATTTTTATGAAGATAATACTTAATAACCTAATTTTACTTTCTTTTAAAGTGTAATGAAATCCATAAGGAAAACTGATCACTTGGAGAGAACTGCAAGTGTCCTTCGCCGGGAGGTTTGTATCTTTGGGGTATGGGAGGTTTTTCTGGCTGGACAGTTTGTGCACAGTTATGACTGGTTTACAAGTAAGTCATTAGATGAGTTTGGTCTCTTTAAAGGACAGTCAGAAGCAGCTTGTTATTGTTCTGTTCAGAAATTATCTGAGCAAGACATATGGTAACTAATTGGAAAAGATGACAGAGAAGTACTTACATTTTTCTTTTTAAACTTGGAATGAACAGACTAACTTTTAAGGAAGGGAATATAGCAGCAATTGAGGGAACCATCCTCACAGATATGATGTTTAAGATTCTATTTTAGGGATAGAATTACTTTTAGAGCCTACATTTTATGAATGGCTTACCTTTTCTTTTTCTTTCTTTCTTTTCTTTTTTTGGCACCATGTCCCAAAGCCTTTGCTTTAGAACAACATCTTATTTCATCAAGGGAGAAAGCACTAACATCTGAGAAAGGAAGGTGGACCAACTCTTGTTACCCTTCTAATGTACAGATTTTTACTACTATATTCAGACTATAGAAAATTAATCTACCACCTGAAGGGGTGTCAAGGGCTGATAAATAAAGGATCCTCACCCTTTACCTCAGTGAGTAACCCCATTTTTATTTAAAAATATAAATTGGATATCAATTTTGCTTTCTTTGAGTTTCTCACATATTCACATATATTTAGCTTAGTGTTGCAGGGCTATGTAAAATAACAGTAAAAAAAATCTATTTGATTTTAGAAAGGATTATACACTTCAACAAACATACTCAGAAATTGTATTGTGGTAGCTTCATTTTATGTATTAATAGAAGGATACACTAACGTAAAGGCACAGTGTTAGGCTCTACTCTTAAAGCCAACTCTACTTTCAAAAAATTGCTTTGGGACTGAGGGTGATGTTGATTCAGCTTTAAGTTGATGTTTGTTTGTTTTTTTAAAAGTCTGTAAAATTAGTTCAGAAGAGTTGATTTATGAGCATGTGGGAAAATACACTTTCCCCAATGATGATAAATCTGAAAATATTTGTTTTTAGTTTGTTCAATACACAAAAATGCTGATTCTATAAATGTGAGACTTGTTGGGATTTCTTTTTAAAAGCAATTTCTTCACTTTTAAAAAGTGAAGTCCTTGTTGGTTGTGAAGAAAAAGCTGTTTATTTAATTGGCTTGCACTATACTATTTCCTGTTGTATTTTGAGGCAGGCAGAATTAGAGCAGGGGTTGAAAAACTTTCTATAGAGGTCCAGATAGTAAATGTTTTAGGCTTTGTGGGCCATGCTGTTTTAGTTAAAACTACTAAACTCTGCTTTTGTAGTGTGAAAACAGCCATAGATAATTTGTAAACAAATTGGTGTGCCTGTGTTCCAATAAAACTTTATTTACCAAATACCCAGATTTGGCCTACAGGTAATAGTTTGCCAGTCCCTGAATTAGAGTAGTCACTTCAGAACTTTATAGGACAAAATCATTGGGACTTTTGGGGGATCATTTTGAGCCCAGTTTAGGTAAACTACAAAGAAAGTTAATGTAAACTCTAATAGCGTGATTGAAAAGTTGTGAATTTTAGTGCCCACAAGTCAGAAAATTCAATTCATAGTAGTACCTTGGAGGAAGAATTTTTAAGTCGCCACTCTTCTCTTCTATTTCTAATTTCCATTCCTCTCCCGAACAGAATGAAAACTGGAAAGAGATGGGAGAAACTGGAGAAAGCTAGATGATGTCTGGGGCTCCCACATCAGCAGTGTATGGTCGTCAGAAGCTCGCCCCAATCCCTCTAGAGGGTGCTCCTAGCCATAGAGTAGGGGCTCAACCTTGGACTTGGTGAAATGAACAGCAGGTTAGGCTGTAACAGAACTAGACCATATGCTCATAGTCTTGTCTTCCTCTCTTCCCTGTAGTTTGTATAGCAAATATGTTTTACAAAACTCCCCGTGTCATTTGCTCTTCAGTTTAAGTTCATAACGTAGCCTCATCTGATTTTACAAAGAGGAAGCAGAGCCTAGGAGCTGTCTCCAGGGATAAAGGGAAGCTTCAGCTCAGAATTCCTAGGCCAGAGGACCCTGCCGCCACTCCTGGAGTGGGTAGAGAGTAGAGCACTCACCTAGAAATGTCCTTCCAGTATTGGTCTTTGTAGTCCCTCTGGAAAACTTATTAACATCATAAAATGGGACTATAAATGTAACCAGTCTGAGGTCATGCTGATGCAGGAAACTGAACTCTGAATTGAATGACATTTGACTGTTTGTGTTTAAGTCCACACTTTTTTCCCCTAAGAATCAAAGAATAAGCAGTCTCAGTAACCCTAGAAATGTCAAGGAGATAAAGAGTAGAAATATTTCATGCTGTAAATTTTGTTCAGGCAAGACTAAAATTTTACTGGAGGAGTCACTCCATGCTTGGCTGCAATAGATGGTTAGCCCACTGAGCAAGATATACTCTATTCATCCATTTGATGAGAAAGTTTGGCAATGAAAGAATTTTTAAATTACTAATTCTTACATATCCATTTATTCATTTCAAAATATGCCAGACACTGGGCTAGGTCCTGGGGTTGCAGCATTGAAAATGATAGACAAACCCCTGACCTCAGATTTCTGTGGGACTAAGTTTATGTACCTAATTGCCTATCGTACTACTACTTAGCTGTGCTCAGAATTTAACTGGGTAGTATCTAAAATATAGTGGCAGTGTGTTTCACTGACACACTTGTTCAATAAATTAAGCAATTTAAGAGGTGAGGATCTTTCCATTTTTCCCTAAGGGACCCAGTCAAATGCAGTGAATTTTGTTTTAAATTCAACAGACATGTACTGAGTACCTGCTGTGTGCCCAGCCTTGTTCTGGGCACTGGGGATACAACAGTGCATGAGGCAGGCAAAGGCCCCTGCTGTATGTGGAGCTGGTGCAGATAATCCTGAGAATGTCAGGTGTGATATACACTGTGAAGGAAATAAAACAGGGTTATGGGAAGCTAGAGTGTCTGGGACAGGCAACTTTAAATCAGTGTATAGCATTTGAGTTGAGAATTGAATAAGGAAAAGAACCAGTCATGTACACAGCATTTGTGGCAGAGGGACTGGTGAGAACCAAGGTTTTGAAGCAGGAATGAGCTTGGCATGTTCAGAGGAGAGTAGGTATGAGAGAGGATGAGAGGTAGGCCAGGTGGTATAAATTGCTATAGCCTGGGATAAGGAGTTGAAATTTTATTCTAAGGGTAATGGAAGGTTTTAAGCTGGGAAATGAGTAATTTACATTTTAAATGGATCTTTTCTTGCTTGACACCAGGCTGGAAGCTATTGACTAGTCTCAGGAGAGGTGATGGTAGTTTCCAGTAGGGTGGTAGCAGTGGGGATGGATCTGGGACAGAGGTAGAGCTGGTGGGTTTCACAGAGGATGTTGGGGCACAGGGGGATGGATGATTTGTGAGAGGAGAGGAAACCAAGATGGATTTCCAGGGTTTGGGATTTGAATAATATGGTAGGTAATGTGATGATGGTGGCATCTATTTGCTAAGATGGAAAAGAACAATTTGTAGGAAGGGGAATAAAGAGTTCGGGTTTTAGAATAATCTGGACGGGGGTGGGTGGCAGTGGACAGAGTTACAGATGCACCAAGATTAGCCATGAGTTTTATCAACTCATATCAACTCATATCGACTGTTAAATCTGGGTCATGAGGGTTCATTGTACTATTTTTACTACTTTTGTATTGTTTGAAAATTTTCATAATAAAAAGGAAAAAAATTGGGAAGAAAAAAGTTCTGTGTTGGTTGTGTGAAGTTTGAAATGGAAACTCAAATAGGCAGTTGGAAATATGTGTTTGCAGTTCACTGTTGGGAATACAAAGTTTAAGCCATGTAGAGAGTAGGGGAAGAGGACTCAGGACTTAGCCCAGGGATGTGTTGACACCGAGAGGCCAAGCAGAAGAGCAAGGGCCAGCAAAGGAGATGGAGAAGGAATATCCAGCCAGGCAGGAAGGAAATCAGCAGAGTGCTCTTGAAGCCAGGAGAAAAAGTGTTTCAAAAAGGAGAGCGTGGCCAACCATTCTGTATTTGGCTGAGAGGTCATCATTGGATTTACCAAAATGGGTAACCAGAATGACTGGCTTTAGTACATTGCTGAGAATGACAGCCCAGCTGGATTGTGTTGGAGAGAGAGTGAGAATAAGAAAATGGAGACAGGACCACATATAACTCTAGAAATGTTTTGATGTGAATGGGAGCAGAGAAGTGGGGTGATAATTGGATTAAGGGAGAGACTTATTTTGTTTGTTGTGTTTTGAAAGCAGCAAAGCACTCAAGTGCCTGGATTCAAATCTCTGCTTTGCCACTTGCTAGCTCTGGGCTACATAGTTTTCTCATATGTAAAATGGGGATGGTAGTAATACCTGTCTTCTAGGGTTGTTGTGAAGATTGAATGAACGAGCATTTGTCAAGTGCCTGGCACATGGTGAGGCTGTCTATAGGTGTTTGCTGCTGGTGTTGCTGTTATCTGAAGTGGGAGATCCTAGAGCTCACATGTGTGATGGAGACGGGAGGGGAGGGAGTGATGCAGGAGAGAGAATAGTTGCTAGAGTGAAGGTTTGAGAAAGCAGAGAGGAGACTGGCCCAGGTGGACAGTCTAGCCTTTGGTAGGAGTAGTTCACTCATCATTCCAGGGTGTAGTGTTGATCAGCATAAGCCCCTGAAGAAGTAAAATTGTTTGGTTGATAGAGAATTTTGTGGTCTTTTTTTTGTCAGTAAATCACTTGAGTAAAATCAGCTTTTTAAAATCAGATTCCTGCACATCAGATTGGTATTTGGCTGCCATTTAAGTAATGTCTCTGGGTCTTGGTGTCCTTATGTGTAAAATGACATATTATTCTTAATAGTGACTAAAGTTTCTTTCAATTCTGAAATTCTCTGAGCCAAAACTACATTTTTGTCTTAGGTTATCTGTAATCCTGCCTTTGCTTCAATTTTTAAGCCAAAAATGAATGAATGGGAGTGAACAGGGAAAGTTAGCCAGGTTT